CCTTAAATTCTATGTTATACGCCTTTTAACTAACTATATACTACGCCTAATACGCCTTTAACCCTATATACGTAATACGCTCAATATTATTTCTTATCTTACACCTATACTATTTCTTAAACGCTAATTTTTCCGAACCCTACCGAGAATCGAACCCGAGCCCTCTGCGTGACACGCAACGACCTTAACCACTACGCCACCGTGGCGCTGTGATTGGTCGCCTTTTTCCGCGTGTCGTCGCGTCACCTTAGTATTAATTACTTAATTAAAAGGTAAAGGTACCGCGGAAAAACAGTGCGTCCTTTATTATATTATTTGTGGGGGACCCAATAGAGTAGTGGTCAAGGCGCTCGACTGCCACGCGGTGGTCCCGGGTTCAATTCCCGGTGTGAGCGATAGACAATAGAGTATAGGGTATAGACAATAGATAACAGATAAGAGTAAAAAAAATATAGTATAGGATAGAGACGGTAGATAATAAGTGAGAGTAAAATATAGCGTGTAAATGGTAGTTAAGCGTTGTAAGGGGTAAAAAGATATGTAGGGTGTATGTTATATATAATAGCGTAATAGCAAATAATGATGAAGCGGTAATAGATTTATATATCAACGTAGGAACTGATGGTCTTAGGTATCGTACGGTATGATTAGATAGGTAATAATTAGATTTAAGTCATTTAACGTATTGTAATAGATCTTGGGTACTTTTATATAAAAAAAGAGTTTGCCTTAAGGTTCATACGCGATTGAGGTAAAACTTATTTGCTACTGTACAAGATGGCATTTAAGTAAAAATAAATACATCATAACAATTTTGAATAATGTTTCTTAGTAATATGGTAACACTCGTGATGCACATATTTATTAGTGTCAACCATTATACACATTTATATATTGTGTATAAGTATGGCTTTATACTTCAAATATGACATGATCGGTTTGTCGTTGTAATTAGCATTTAGAAATGAACCTTCATTAGAAAAATGAAGTAATTGCTGATTAATAACTTCTATAATATTCGTTCACACAGTGTATTATGTTAAACAACTCCTAAACAAATATTGTTTTCATCATATAATATTTGTGTTTGAAGAACTTCATGTAATTAAAATTAACATGTATTCATTGACTGCTTGCATTTTTTTTTTACTTTTTTGCTGGCGATATAATCTCATTCTTTGAACAGCTGCAATATCTGTCTTGCCTAAAAAATTGTTTCCCTTTTAATGACTTCAAAGATTTATAGAAACTACGAATAATATAAAAATAATTTCTAATCAATAAACTTACGATTAGTAGAAATGTTTAATTTGTTTTATTATTTTCAAGAAACAGGGTAAAATATTCTTCTGATTCAGGCATTTTTCATTAAATCAAGATTTGTACTACGATGTAGTTATAAAATGTTTATCTATCTATGTCGATTACCTTGTTGAATCGGTACGCGATTTGAATCCAAAGGCAAAACTGGCTGATATTCTAAGAACAGTTCTATTTTGTTGTATATATGAAGATATGTAAACATAATTATTACTATATCTTTATATAGGAAAATCACGTATACTTTTTAAAATTTAAAAAAAAAAACATTGTATTATTTTTTTGCTTAGTTTGAGCATTGGAACATTTAAATTTATTTATATACTTTATACTATCTTTTTTATATTGTTTTTTCTTTCTCTCTTTATATAATAAATTGATTTTTACATATATTTATTAACTAAAGAAATAATTTCCATATTACTAGAATAATTAGAATTAACATCTAAAGTTTTGATTGACAAAAAAAATGATATATATTCTGTTTCAGGTAGTAATTTTTATGAGCGATATTTGTACACAGTTCCGAGATTCGATCGGAGTACTTTTACATGCAAATCGGATCTGTTACCATTACGGTCATAGATAAACATTAAAAACGCCATATTTATCAAACCCTTTGCATCATAATTTGCCTTCGTCATATCATTACTACCTTCAAATTATTTATTTCTACAAATGTATCGATCATTTTTTCCATGAATGATTTGGGGTTACGTTTCTGTTTAAACATCAAATATTTACTTCAATAAATAATTTCAGCTGATATTGAATGAACTCATGAACACATAGCCATCAATGGCATTCAGTCATCGTTTATCATAATTTTTAGTCGAAATTTGTAGGCGTTGCCTGTTAATTATCCCACACGCATGATCGGTATGTTTGCATTCGACTCGAGGAAAATATCTAAGTCTGCCCACAATTTGTCCTATGGTATAATGATACAGCGTCGTGCCGCCTGCAATAAAGCGCCGTTCATGGTCATCGACATTCAGCGCCGTCGCGGACGTGTTGTGCAACGAGGTGACGTATTTCGCGACACGGCCGGAGGTGGAGGGGCAGAATAATTGATAGACTTTATTTATATATCTTTTTTTTCTTTATATATTTTTAACAGCAATCAGAACCTTACGTCCTATGAGCTGTTGGGCTGAAACTTCTCCTTACATCGTATTTTTTTTTAGATGGTAACCCAATGGTTAATCCATCCATATTTGATGATTTTTGTTATTAGAATTAATCTAATAGGGCTGACTTTTTATTGGTGCAGCAATGCCGGGCAAGGGCTATTTTCACTTGGAAACATATTGCTATCTATATTTCCAAGTGAAAATCGTTGTCACTGCTGTCTGACAACAGGCTGCTCGAAGTGGGTATCGAACCCGGGACCTCTGATTCGCTTACCTACGGTCGAGCCTATATATCATTAAATGAACAGGGAAGCAATAAGTTCATAAAACTGTATTCAGAAAACTGGACTAAGTTTTATTTCTAACTTTTCTACTAGAGTGTTCTCCACTAAGTGCCACTACTGACACTGCTGCACAATCCAGGAATCCGCCCATGCATTTGTAACAAAATATATTTTAAAACTTCTCAATTATTTACAATGATCTGAACTTTGTATAATGGACCACTTATAGGAGTGAATCTTCACCTATCGATATAATATTTATCACAATAATTTATGTGTGTTTTAAAGCCATGTTATTAATTTACAAATTAATTTAAATCAAATAGAAATCATTCAGGCAATTCTAGTACTAAAAATATCCATATTAATTTAGAAATGAAATGAATAGAAGTCATTTCGACAATTCTAGTACTGTAAATGACTATATTATTAAAATACAAATTAGTTTAAATCAAATGAAAATCATTTAGGTAATTCTAATACTGAAAAAAGTCATATTGAATGATCATAGATATCAAAATTTGAAATTACACTTTTAGAAAACTAAAAATTACAATAACAAATTACAATCCTCAATAATTTAACTCAAAGTGAAAAATCTTGAAGCAAAAGTCGATACACTAGGTGGCGTCTATAGACGACGGTCGTACACACAGTTTGTCAATCCGATGTCTAAAAGGTTAATATTTGCCTAAATAGAAACTTGTTTATATGGCCTATTTCCAAAAAATCGAATTGCAAGCTAAAGTACTCATAAAATTTAAAAAAAAACTGATAAAATACATGCAAGTAATAAAATTGTAACAAAAATTGTACGTTGAATTCATATAAAAATATATTTTTTTATTTAAAAAATATTTCAATATTAAATAAATGAAAATTATGCATATATACATATATATTACACAATTTTTATAGAACCTTTTATAGGGACTGACCAAATTTAATCGTTACCGACTTAAACTCAAACTAATCCTAATTTCAGATGTTTTCTTAGCCATAACAGATTATATCTTATTTCGGAACTTTCTACTTTTGCCTGTAGTTAACTCATATGATGAAAAAATATTTTTTCTCATTTACTTTTTTCATTTACAACCTATATTTTATATTTCCTTGGCTTTGTATTCTTTATTCAAGTTATGTATTTTTATATACCTTTAATAATCTGTAATATTCTTTATTGTATTTTTTTTAATTTCATTTAGTTCTTCTTAAATAGCAATATCAATTTTGGATTAAATTCATTTTTTTTTCTTTATCTGTAATTCATTTTATTTATTTATTTATTATTATTTTTTTTAATTTTATTTTAATTAATTAATTTTTTCGTTTTTTTTCTTTCTGTGATTATTATTATTATTATTTTCATTATTTTCTTATTATTGTTATTATGTGTAATTTAGCCAAACAACTCATAGGGTGTGTAAACAACTGTGATTGTTATATGATACAAAAATAAAAAAAAGTATTTTTCAGAGAAAAAAATTATTTATTTATACAATAGTATTTATATTCATAATTTATATCTATTTATTTGCAAAACTATTTCAATTATTCTCTTCAAATTAAATTTTTTGCATTCATACATATTAAATGATTATAATCTTCATAACATTGTTTTATATTTCTCATGACATCACGTAATAAAAATACAAAAATTATACAAGAAGTTCGAGGCCAAGCATATAAATAAACTACATAGTATCTCTGGAGATTTGGAAGCAAGTTTTTATTAAAATTTCATATAAATACCTCTTAAGTTTACTTTAGATAATGATCAAAAATACAAAATTAATTAACTTAACGTTGATAACATACAACGTTTTTTTAATTGATTACAAATTATTCAAACTAAATTGGAAAATAATTAAAACTATTTATATGTTTATAATGTTTAAATTATTACTCCATGATTACTTTTATGCAAATATTTATTTTAATTATATAAAATATTAATTAGTTTTTATGTTGTTTCAGAAACATGATCCGGAAACATGCAATAGTCACCTAGCGATAGATCTTTAAATTTCGTATCTAGTCAAAACCAGTAAAGTAAAATAAGCCAAAATACTACTATAAACCAAATATAAAATTATCTATCACCTCAATTAACTTATTATTGTGCAGTTATAAAATATTATATAATTATACAGTTATTTTTGATTACTTATTAAAGATCGAACGTGAAATATCGATTACTCGAAAATACGAGTTTAGCCTTGATTCGAATAATGTCGAACAACGATAACGGTTGTGTTTGTTGAAATAAATTTGTCGAATAATTTTAAAACGAATCGAAATGGACGGATCGTCGCAGAAGATAAGCCACGCGGGTCTTTTGGCCCGCAGCCCGGAGGGAACCGCCGCTAAGGGCATGAACATCAAAGGCAACGAGGACTTGTGGGTTGAGATACAAGGAAACACGTTCAGAAACTGGGTCAATGAACATCTGCGATCGGAGAATATGAAGGTAAGGCTAATAGTAATAATTCGATAATTATTGATATGGATAATTTACTTTTATATTGTTATGTGAAATCTTTTTATTGTAAACAATTCACTCAGGAAAATCTAAAAATTCAGGAGTAGGAATATTCCCCAAATGTCCCTTAATAACAAATTTCATAATATATATACAGAACTTATTGGAGACTCCGACATCTTTTGGAGTATAAGTGACAAACCTGAGCTAAATATATTAAGCAGATTTTTGTATTGAGAAACGTAAATATTAATTTATATACTAGGGGAGGGGGGCTTATTCTGCAGAAAAATAGACACATGTTACATACCGTTTATTCTCATACAGAATGGTACTAAATACTGTCAAAATGCCATGTGTTTGCAGCGCAGTTAGGTATAGATATAAATACCTAACCTAGAAAGTGCTAAAAATGTTAAAAATAACAATGTTATCATATCTACATCTTTGTGGTATAATAACATATAAATTAAGTTGCAATATATGTTTATAATGTCTAATTGCACAGCAAATACATGCTATTATAACAGTATTTTACTATTACTTCCTAGCAATTTTTAAAGAGTATGAGGAGCATGTTTACACTAATTAATTGCTTTTTTTTGTCAATCAAAACTTTATTAAAGTTTTATAATACAAAATTGTTGAGGTTTATAAAAAACAAAAAATTAAACCTAAATACAAAAATATAAATGTAAATAATATACAGAATATTAACAAAATAAATTTACAAAATTTTGAAATAATAATCTTATAACATAAACTGTGGTTGGAACTGAGCATTGGCTACTCTGTCGAGTGGCGAATGCTTCTATGATGGTAATTAATTGAATTAGTGCTGATTTTTATTTTTTTCTATTGGTGAATTTAAATAAACGTAATTAAATAATGAGCATATTAAGATTATTATTTTTTTATTATCTCTTTTATTTACAACTGTTCAGTTAAGGACATTTAATAAATTTGTGGAATTTACTATAGTCGGCAGTAAAGGGACATTGTATACTAAAGGGGCATGTTGGAAAAACAACTCAATAGTTGTTTTCCCATTCGATATAATATTCACAATATTCTATTTATAATTATAAAATTTTAACTATTTACTTATGAAATAATTTCTTATAAATAATGACTAAGTTATTTCCATTTTTCATCAGGAGAGTTGATGACTCAAATAACTTATATTAAGATTATTGACCAAAATGTATTATTAGGTTGTCTACGGGTAAATCGTAAAATAAAATTAGTATTACTACATTAAGATAATGAATATATTATAATGTATATGCGTTGATATACAAATAGATTACATATGTAAGAAGAATCTAAATTCATCAATATTTTTTAGATTTTTATAAAATTGTAAAGCTAAAAGATCATTATATAATCAGTGTCTAACTAGATTAAGAAAAGTGATTTTTGGACTAATTCAGATATTCAAATTTATATTTTTCCATTTGTTGAAACAATTAATACATGCCGTTAATAAACGAATAAGCTCATATAGTTTATCAAAAAATTACTATTAATTTGTTCATAAGTAGTTTCGTTTATAAGAAGTCTACAATTTATTATAATCGTTTATAAGTAGATGAATAACCAGAATATTAATAATTAATAACTATAATAATGATCATTAAATAATTTAACAAATATACTATGTATTATTAAATAATATTAGAAATTAATAGTATGAAATGATTATTTACCAAATTAATAAAAATATATTTACAAATTGTAGCAACACGAGTTGGCTTTGGTTTTTATAGAAGGTGAAAACAATAGTCATGACATCTCAATGTTTCTAAACAATCATATTTTTTAATTTTTTATACTTTTAGATGAATATTTATAATTAGTAATTAAATTTAATAAAAAATCAAAATAATAATAAATTAATAAAAAAAAACTGTGTCGTGTAATAGTTTTTCATTTTGAAGGACAATTAACAATATCTTCGCTTTCTTCAGTGATCTAATATTTCGCGCATTATCAATACCACATATTTATCTTTTATTTCACCGTAAAATATGAATTATCACATCTTCATAATAATGGTAGTATTATTGAAAGAATGACGTAAACATTTAGTGTTAACCTTGGAACTGTCGGCTGTTTCGTCGTCGATATTTGTGCCACAGAGGACGTTCTTCTCCAACTATATATAGGCATGAATAACTCAGACAAGAATTCTGTAGATTTGCCACGCTAATTCATAATGAACACACATCGTGTTTTGCATGCAGACAAATCATTTTTTTTTGTTTTCAATCAGAGAAGTAAATTTCCAAATTTGGACACCGAGTAATAGACACCAAGTAACTGATACTACCTACTGTTAGACAAAATTTTGGTTTGGTTATGTTTAACTTTTATTTATTTATATTGTCCCTTTTTTATAATATTAAACAGCGGTGAACATCTCCAGATTTACTCGATTTTAAGTTTTTTTTTAATTTATAATTAGCAATCAGATACATATCTTATAAGCTAATGTGTGACGTATACACAAAATAAAAATTAAATAAAGTAATTGAAATAAACAAATAATAAAGATACAAAAACAAAGATTATAAATAAATATAAATAATTTAGTTATAAGCAAATTAGGAAAAATAAGTACGTTAGAATGCCTTCATTGAGTTAATCCTAAGTGGAGAAGGGATTTTGTTAAGTAACATAAAATATATTTACAACATATTCAAAGACATATAACATTTTTTATAAGTTCTCTTTTTTAAAATTTATTTCTGATCCTATGGGCTTGCTTGTTTGCAAAGTCAATAAAAAAGATAAAATATGAGCTAAACGAAGATCTGTTAGAGGAATGCTTTAGACTTAACCAACCAACTTTGGAAAACCACAAAATTTCAGGTTCAAGGTTCTATTCCTATCTAGGTAAGCTTGATACTAAGCAGTAGATATAGGTTTTCATTAGAAAATATAGGTCTAAATGTTAATTAAAACAAAAATAGCCTGTTAGGTCACTGTTGCCTATAAGAATAATGGTAATCTTATCACAAATAGAAAGAACTACCACTGCTTTGCATTCTAGTAATGCTAGGAAAGTTATAGGATTTTCTTCATATAAATTACATATAAAATTATATTATTATTATTTCTATTTATTTGTTATTATTATCATTATTATTATGATCATTATAGATAGTTTTTTTTATTTTACATTATAGACTTGTTTAGATTATGATTTCCTGTAGCTCATAGAATACTTACATTATTCTAATTGTTGCATACAAATTCAATAAAAAAATACAAATAAGTTACAAAAATTTGGATCACACTACATATTTTTGATATATTAAGATATAATCTTATATATTAATATGACATTTTATATCTTTGTTGCCCATTTTAATTAATCAGATGCAAATTTATACAAAAAGCATTTATTAAAGTAAATATCTCCATCATGATTCCAAAGTGGCCTTGTCTTAATTAGTCTCTTATGACAAATTACTTATAAACAATGTCATTCCGTAGTGTTGATAGTTTTGATAATTGAGTTAAAACAATTGTGGGTGTTTCCAACATCTAAACATCATAATAATGTTAACATAATTAAATTGTACCACAGTTTTATAATTATAATTGGAGTAATAATTGAAATACCACAAAAAATATTTGTTAAGTTGAACTATTTTTTTTCTAAAATAGTTATTACATTTTGAAACGTTTTGTTGATTCGATTTATAAATAACAATTTCATTCAGGTATACCTAGAAAATTCATTAAAACTTTGAAAGAAATACAATACAATTTTATTGTTCTTTCATATTTATCTATTCGTTACACTTCTAGTATTTTCTTTATTTAATTTCTTGCGGAAAAAATTAAAGTATCACAAATATATTGTATCCCATAAAAAATTAATCAAACTATGTACATCTATTGCATTTATGCAATGCAATTAAAACTAGACATAAAATGTTGGAACAATTAACAATATTACAAATGTATGAAGATAAATTTCTTATATAATATCTATTGCAAGAAGAGTTTATAGATAAATTAGTATTTGATAGCCTATGATAGCTTTTATTTATTAATTATATAAAGTTGTAATATAGTTGACTAATTATAGGAGGTTGTAAATTATATATAGAGCATAGAATGTAATATTCTGTAGAAACAAAAATTATAATCATAAAGTTGTAATTTAAGTGGCTATGCTTGAAGGAGGTGAAGAATTTAACTAAAGCAAAATTATTTATATACAAATTAACTATAACTAACATAAAAAGAATGATATAGCTTGCTCTTTGCAACATATACAATAATCTGGAATTTAATATTTTTTATGCCATATTTCGAATGTAATGAGTCATTACATTATATTTATTTAATAGGTTTTGGATTTATCTCAAGATTTGTGTGATGGTACACGTCTTTGCGCCTTAGTCGAGGCCTTACAAGGTAGACGTCTTAAGCCGTCATGGAACAGACGTCCTGGAAACCAGCATCATTATTTAGAGAACGTCACAACGGCTTTGGCTGCAATTGAAGCAGATGGTGTCAAACTAGTCAATATAGGTATTTTATCTAAAAATATATTTGAGAAATATCAAATATTAATTACATAAGAATTAACTTGAGATTTAATAAAAGTTAAATTAAATATACATCATCATATAAAAAAAATACTTCTACACGTACAACTATTTTTTAGGTTATATATTTTTGTGCTTAAAACATTTTTCATTAATTTGATTTTTTACTACTTGTGATACATATAAATTTAATAGCAGCTCACATTTAAAGTATTTGATATATAAAATTAATTTTACGATTTTATGAGTTCCGCAACTTTCATTCACATTTCTATTTTCTATTATTAACGATAAGCGTTAATTTATTTTCTAATAATTGGAATCTTGTATAAGATCATTTAGAAAAAAAAACTTTCTTTGTTATCGTAATGGATATAAGAGCAATGTAAAACAACAATAGAAAAACACAATTATAATAATTAATCTAATGACAGAGCAGTCATCTGCCAATATTATTGTATCTTTAGTAAGAGTTAAAGAAAATGGATATTTAATGTGAATTCAATTGAAAATATTTATAAGTCATATATGTTAAGAATATTGACAACTGAAAACGATAGTTTACATTTGACAAATGCATTTATGTATTATATAATATCAATTGACTCATTTAGTGAAAAGAACTTAATAAAAAAGAATTTAATATTTTCAAAAACAGCAAATTTGTTTCTAAAAAATCTAAGAATTTTATATTTCAATTTTCCAAGAAATTTTATTCCATTTTTATTTTTTAGGCAACGTGGATATTGTCAACGGCAACCTAAAGCTGATATTAGGTCTTATATGGTCACTGATCGTGCGTTACCAGATCGGCCGAAGCAAATTCCCTCCAAGAAAACTGATGTTGGCCTGGTTACAAGCAGTTCTTCCGGAATGCAGAGTACATAATTTAACTACAGATTGGAATTCAGGAGTTTTATTACATGCTCTGCTAGATTACTGTAAACCGGGACTTGCGCCGCATTGGAGGGATCTTGGTAAGTTTTCAACATTCCACTTGTATCGATATAGTATTAAATCATATACAAATATAATATTTCAAATGATTTTATTAATACTTTTATTGTTTCAATGAAAGCATGAAAATAATTTAGCCAATTTTTTATAAAGTCAATATGTGATCTTTACAGTAAATGAATCGAATGAATCGAAATCCAATTGCTTTATAGACTTATGGTAACCAATGCAAAAAAGATGGAACGATTTTTTATCGTTGTTACAGTGATGTTATTTTTGTTTAGAATTATAAAAACTATAAATAGATTTAATTCCATTTTTTAGATCCGAATAGATCTGTCGAAAACTGCGGAAGGGCTATGAATATTGCAAATCGTGAATTTGGCATCCCGATGGTGTTGGAACCAGAATATCTAGCATCACCCTGGCTGGACGAATTGTCGGGCATGACTTACTTATCTTATTTCATGAAACCAGACAGTCCAGGATTTCATGCTACTTTGCGCTGGGTTAATTCTAGACTTGATAAACCTGTCAGGGGATTTACGGTCAGTACCTAAATTAAAATCAAATTTGATTAATTAAATATGTTAACCAATTAATAACCTAATCTTGAGAAACTTTGCTATTTATAATGAAAATAATTTTTTTCTAAATTATATTTATTATTTTCACGAATAACATCGCTTAAATCCATTATTGATAAAATATTGTTCATGAGAAATATAATTCAATTACAATTGTGCATTGTATATATAATTTTAATTTGAGAGCTTTGAATAATTGGAATTAATACATATTATAATACTTTTATAGACTGAGTGGAATGATGGTAAAGTGATTTCCGAAGTCATCAGAAGTCTTGGTGGATCAGCAACTGCACCAGATAAGTTGCGCAGCGATCCAGCTTATTGGGAATCTAATTTACAACAAGCAGTTAATGCTGGACAAAAATTAGGTAATAAAAAATGATATTTTGCTCTTTCTGGCAATACATAAAAAATACTTGAACAGTTGTATCTTTAGTTGTTTGGTCTCAAAACTGCATGTTTAACAAAAAAATTATATCAATTTTGAACTAAAGTAATAATTTGTACGTGGTAATGCTCTATATTAGCTATTTTATTAATATTGAAATAATTCAAATATGGAATTGAAACAATGATATAATAATTTTTATGCATATTTTTAACTTCGCTAATCACTCGTTTATTGTCTCTAAAATACACTCTCTGCAATATTCATCTCTAGTGTATTTTAGAGACAATGAAGGAGTGATTAGAGACGAACGAAGTTAACAATATTTATAAAAAAAAATCTAAAAATATTAATATATCTGTACCACTAAATCAATTTTAGCTTCTTAATTACTTATTACACAATGCTATTTTTAATGGTAAAGTACATCATCAATTTTATCATATATTCAGTATACACAAGTATGATAGCTAAAATATAGTAAGATACGAGTAGTAAATACCTAGCTGCAATTTATTTTGTTTCATTTACTATGTAGTTGTAAAAGCTTGTGTCATTTAACAAAGAACTTTAATTGAACAAGAATTTGAATAGAGATAATTTGCAAATAGGAGTGCAGCCGGTTTTATCAGTTCGCGATATGGCCAAGACCGATGTGGGTCATTTAGGAGTTATGGCTTATGCGGCGCATTTCCAATGGGTGAAACCTCGCCCACCTCTGGCTGATATGATTGCCGTGCATTTGGAATCAACGAGCGGACGGGTTGGCGAACCAGTAAGTACTGAAAATATTAAAAATCAATTTGTAATAAATAACTAGTGGGGCGCATGGCATCGTGGCTTAAGGCAAATTGCTGGAACATCCCCTACCAAAAAAATTTCTTTTAAAAAAGATTAACATTTTTGAAAAAAATTCACTCTGGAAAAATTAGATTTTTGAGAAACCATAAATTTTTGACAAAAATTTATTTTTTTTAGAAAAAAAAGCTTTGAAAAAAAAAATGTTTCAGTTTATGTTAACGTTTTAGTTAATGTTTTGTTCAGGAATATAAACAAAATTTTGACTTATTATTAAAATCTCTATAAAATATCTGATAATTTGATGTGCATATGTCTAATGATCATTTTTGACCGCCAAATGGCTTTCTTTTACTATGTAACTTTTGTATTTCTTATAGGATAAAACCTACACTATAAGTTCCTATTCGTGTATTTTAACAGCCTTACGTATTCCTATACGTTGCATTCCATATTACACGCCTTACATCTACCATACGCTATAATTCATAATATACTCTCAATCCCTACGTTATATACCGAATACTACACCTATATCTACTATATATCCTATTACCTACAATTTCTCTTACACGCTATTTTTACCCGTACCGGGAATCGAACCCCGGTCCGCCGCGTGACAGGCAGCGACCTTAACCGCTAGACCACCGTAACACTACGATCAACCGTCTTTTCTCGCGAGGCGTCGCGACACCTTAGTATTAATTCCCTAATTAATTAGAAAATGAACCGCGGTAACAATAGTGCGTCCCATATTATATTCTTGATGGGGATACCCGATAGCGTAGTGGTTAAGGTGCGTGACCTCCACGCGGAAGTCCCGGGTTCAATTCCCGGTAAGGGAAAAATAGCGTGTAAAAGAAATTGTAGGTAATAGGATATATATAGTAGATATAGGTGTATTCGGTATATAATGAAATATAGCGATAGGTATAGACAATAGATAGGTAGAGAGAATTAGGTAAATATATAAATAATAGAAACAAGATTTATAAGAAGTAAAACATATGTAGGTATATTATAAATTACTGGTATAGGTATCTCACGGTATGATAGATAATAGATAGATTATCTATGATATATAATAGCAGAATATAATATAATAATATTACACTCAAAATATAATTAATCAAATTATGTTAGCAATAGATACTGAGATCTATCCAACGTATACATTTGACTAATTAAAGATAATTGGTCTTTAATTAATGAGAAGTACATGAAAATCTCTTCAAAGTGCATTAACTAATATTTTTAACTGGAACATGTATATTTTATTACAGACCCATTTTCGTGTTGAACTCCTTACGAAAGAATTAGACTACAGCATGGTTCGAACATCAATAATTCCTCCAGCTGGTGGAGCTCCTCAGCCTGTAAAACTCCATCGAGGAGAAGGTTCCTATATACCAGACAGAATGGGAATGCATGAAATTGTTTTGGATGTAAACGAAGATAGGTAATTGATAATTAGTTACTTTATATTTCAACTATTTTGAGAATAACATCTTGGAGAAAGATTCTTACTATATTCTCACAAAATTGTGATTGGACTCTCCAGAATGGTATTAGATATTTACAAAAATTTTAATAAGTTCCTATTAAATTTTTATCAATATCAAATAGTTACAAATAAAGGCATCTGTGATTACTAAATTTTTCACATCATAATATAATATATTTCAGATTGGATGGCTACTTCTTCAGAGTTCTACCCCGCCATGTCAAAGTTTTGCCTCCAGGCATGGCTCCTTGTGCTTTGGGCAGTTTAGTTGAAGTTCTAGTCAGTGCAACTGGTAACTACTAATATCAATTAATCATAATAAAATCACATGCGATATAATTATAACCGAATCAGAGTGTATTTAATTATGCAGCATTTTGTAACAATAAACGTTTTTATTCAGGTGCCCCCAAAAAAGAAGATATTCTTGTAACAGCATACAGTCCAAATGGTAGAGCTTTGGAGTGCCCTCTAAAATCTATAGATGGAACTAACAGTGCTATATTCAAACCTGATGAAGCTGGAACCTGGGAAATTGCTATCACCTATCAGGGAAAACATATTCAAGTACGGAAAAGTATTGGAAATTGATAGAAAATTGTTTATTAACTATAGTAAAATTATAATCCTAGTCTTTAAACTTAATGTTTTAGGGTTTTCGATGGTTGTAGTTTATAATTATTTTTATAAAATCACTTTCCTTTCAGGGTGGTCCTTTCACATGTTCAGTATTTGACCCTCGAGGCGTGTCTGTGTCCGGAGTCGAAGGTGCGGTCGCAGGCCGTGCCCACAGTTTCGACGTGGACACCCGGGAAACCGGAGCGCCCGGAGCCGAAGTTCATGTCGATGTAGTGCATGACAAAAGATCATTGCTTTGTGCAGTCGAAAAGCTGGACCGATGGAGACATCGAGTCACTTTTGTACCTAAACAGAATGGAAAACACAGGGTAAATGATTATAGACTAGTGTAAAATAATAATAGACACATTTTCAATAGAGTAGCTACATATAACGGTAACAACTGTTGTCCAACAGTAATTTGGTCTATTTTTAACGGACAGAATATTTGTAATGAAACGAATTTCAAGTACTTAAATTCTATATTTTGCATACCGTTGTCTAATATTCTATCTCAAAATAATTAAGACAACATTAGGAATGCTGGATTTTTATTTAAACAATCCTAGTCGTTACTTATGAATGTAAATAATAAATTTTTTTTTTCAAATGGTTACATCACTTGGCTAAGTAAGGGGTAACTACGTCATAATGACATAAAATATTAAAATTATAATTTGATATTTATTTCTTATCATTCTAGATTTATGTCTACTTCAATGGATATGATGTCAAGGGTTCTCCTTTCATCATGCGTGTTGGAACACAAAAAGGCAGAAAATCATCAGATTCTCCAGTTAATTCTAGAAACAGAGAGAGTCCAGTTAATTATAAGAGTCGTGAGAGTCCTGTAAATTCTCGCAATAGAGAGAGCCCTGTTCATTCCAAAAGAGAGAGCCCTGTTTATAACTACAGACTTAGGGAAAGTCCAATCCCATTGAAAACGGCTAGTCCTGTAACTGGTAATTAGAACTTGATTATAAATGATAAACAGTGAATATTTTTATACTGTATTACTTGCTTAAATCAATTTTAAAATAATAACTTATACTAAATATTGCAATGTATCTTTACAGTTACTGTGAAGCGTCGTTCTGAAAGTCCTTCTTATGGATACGACGAGACAGATCACATTTCCAGCCTTTCACGAGATAAATCTGCATTCACTAGTACCTCCAAATATACGAGTAGTTCCAGCGCACAAAAATCTTCACATGATGTTTTAGGATCGTCAAGACCTACATATGACACAAGGTAATTTACAGCATTTTTTTCTTCATTTTCTTAAATGTAATTCAAAGTTAACAAAAGTATTTATGATCTTAATAGGAGCAGTCCAGTTCACCAAGGTAAATCATTTACATCAAGCATGACATCAAGTTCCCACTGGGAGTCGACTACAAATAGAACATCCAGCCCTCGTAACATCACATCCAGTCCTCGCAATGTATCATCTAGCCCCAGAAACGTTACATCGAGTCCAAGAAACGTGACATCAAGTCCAAGAAATGTCACATCAAGTCCGAGAAATACATCTTCGAGTCCGAGAATGTTTACATACAGTCCTTCTGGTTACAGATCTGAAAGTCCAACTGTAGTAAAAATCAGTAGTTCCTCTAAGCAGAGTTCGTCTAATTATAAATCGCATTATGGAGAAACTGGAAGCAGTAGTAGATTGAGAAGCACTTCTCCTGGTAATAAATGGAAATATGATACATATTTAATACAGTTTTGGAATTTTAATTCATTTTCTTAATTCTTCAGAATTTGAGCGTGGTAAAGTTGATCATAGCTCTAACGTACGTGTGTCTTCATTGACAAATGGACCATCACGCAGGGACAGTTGGGATGCAATCGCCAAAACTAAACATTTATTATCACATAATAGGTAAATATCAGCTCATAAGATTAAGACATATGTATAAAAAGAGAAATATAATTGTGTTATGAATAAAATGATAAAAATACAGACTGTAATTAAAACTATACACTTGTCTTTTGGGAAAATTAGAGACGTATTTTAATATTGTTGAATACATAAAAAAACAGTATACAGATCCTTATATTTGAAATCTATCATTTGTGTATCTTTTACTTCAAATATTTTTCTGTGAATAAATATTTCTATATGACCTTTTTAACGTATTACAATTCGAATTCTTTTACAGCTTGGAATCTCTCGCAAACTTGGCAGAAAGTCAACTAAATACAGATTTAAGCTTTGCACGTAATGAGGAAACAGAACGCAACACTAGAATCAATAGTAATACTCGTTCTTCGGCTTTGTTGAATTCTGATCTGCATGATGAATCTTATCGTATGAGGCGCCTGAACTTGGATGAAACAGAAAATTCGAACTATGTATCCAAGAAAAGTTTTGCAGATACCTATGTAAGTACGTTATCTTATAAAACTGTATAAAAATTGTTCAACTGGATACAGATTTGTGATCTCTTGGACCATTGCTAAAATGCATTGTAGAAATCTTATATATAAATTTTGATTTTAATTATGGCTGCAATCAATTTTGACCACAACAAAATTCCTTGATTTGTTCATGGAAAACCTTTTTAAAAAAACTTTTATCATTTTCAGACTAGTAGCAGTAACTTAGTTCGAAATGAAAGAAAAACATATGAGCGCACAACATCACCTCGATTTGGTTCTCCAGTGCACGAAACTGATGCTGCACATCCACGATTCCGTCCTTATAACCAGACGCACCAGTCTTCCTTATCTATGGAATCATCAAGGTTAGACTCCCAATCAGGAGGAGCTAAGGCTGTAAAAGTCAAGAGAATACCTGATGGTGTCGTCGGCGAGCCTGTGGAATTCGAAAGTAATTATAATACATATTAAATAAAAATCAATATTATACAAAATATACTTTCTAGTATTTTCTTAAAACTAATTATTCTAACAATATAATCTTACTTCAGTTGATGGATCACGTGCTGGTTCTGGAAATCTTGAGATTCTTGTTAATGGAGGACGCGTAACATCGTCTGTGAAACCTTTAGGCAATCAAAGATTTCTTGCAGCATTTACACCTCACGAAGTTATGAGACATAGCATCAGAATCACATTTAATGGAGAAACCGTACCAGGTAAGTGCCTATTACATATTTATAAACCGTTTATGTGATTTTTATAAATTTGCCGAACATCGTAAGAGGAATAATCCAATGCACCAGTGATTTCCAAGGAGGCCGTTACACCCTACAGTGGGGGGCAATTTCTAAATTTAATTTAAAAAGTGTCGACACGATCATTTAGGTGATATCTGTTAAACATTTTACAAAACCTGATTATTAGATTTATTTTACAAAAAAAATTAAATAGTGTTAGACGTTACCATAATATCAACTGATCGATGATTGTACTGACTTTGTAAGGAAACTAAAACCAAATGCGCCTAAAGTGCAAGAAAAATTTTAACACCGTTTCCATCTCCACATTCAGCTAAATGTAAATTTAGTGTTGTTCGTGATTTATTGAGAACTATCCCAATATGACAGTGTTATCGGAAGACCATCTCAATTTCAGCCCCGCGTAATATGGAAAAGTGTTTTTGTATTGGCTATATAATAAATTGTACAGCGAATATTATATATAAAAAAATCTTTGGTGAAGCTAATACAAAAAGCTAAAAATAGATAGCCATTGCCAGAAAAATGCTAAAACCTTTAACTTATTTTATGCGAAAGAAGTCGCCGATACATCTTTATTAATATGACATTTAAATAATATTCACATATAAAAACATTGACCGGCCATTTTAATTTGCGCGCCCTTTTTAATTGCATACGAAATACCGCCACCTCTATTGTCAAAGTGTCGCTAAAATATTATATCTAGATATTAAAATCAAATACCCCAACAGAGGGCAATTGTGCGAGAATTATGGAAATACTATCGATATTTTGATACAAGTTCAGATGGTTTGTTTTCCAACTGAAGTTTCCTATCTATACAATGCGCCTTTGTTTGTCTATGTCAGTCAAAATTATGGCAAATTTCCTCCGTCCAGTTCAGTTGGTGCCTGAGTTTTGCAGGCATCATAACAAAGGCGAGTCGACCCGCCAACGCAACGGGTCGACAAGCCTCATGTTTGTGTACGAGTATGTCAAAAAAAACTCGGGCGCTATTTTATGTTAGAGTATTTAACGTTTGTTTGGGCGTCATTTTAAGTCAGTGTGATTAACGTTTGTTCGGGCGCCATTTTATGTTAGTGTGATTAACGTTTGTTCGGGCGCCATTTTATATTAGTGTATTAACGTTTGTTTAGACGCCATTTTATGTTAGTGTAAACGTTTGGACGCCTCCATGACTGTATGTGATAAGTGAGTATTGCATTTTTTTTATTTTAGAGATTAATTATTACGTTGATTCCTCCGAATTATTATATATTTTATAATACGTTTGTATGGACATGCCAAGTTATATTATAGCTATGTACGACAGGTTTTAAAGCTGCAGAGTGTTTTCAGGGAACGTTAAAATTTTTGTTGGAAAATAGTGTTTTAGTTCAGCTTTTAATAACAATTTTAATAACAATTTATAATTCATCATACACTACGAATTTATTGGTCTCCATATAACGCGGTACAATTTATATAATTTGTATAAATTCTCAATTCTTAGTTATGTAGGTAAATAACTGTTTACTATAAATGGTTACAACCATATAACATCAAACGCGATTTTATGAATTCTTAAAATGCGTTTATATCTGCTTGTATAATAATAAATAATGCATTATATTTATATACAAAAAATTACATTGCATGCGCATTCCACAACCGGTTGAATTACGAGAAGGCAACTTTATTATTTTCTCTTGTAAGTTATATAATCACCAGACCAATTTGATGAAAACATTAACATACATAGATGTATTGATGTATATCTAAAACTAGATTAACAATGTGAACCACATTATTGATCTACACTGAAATAATTGAATTATATCCTATTATTATGGTGAAAATTTAATCAAACTATAAATTAAAAATATTTCTAAAGGTTACTAGTGGAGTTTTAAACGATAAGATTTCTGTGATATCTTGCAATATGACTTTTATTATTTTGGTTGATAAAAACAAATTACAATTTCAATTTTGATCGATTGATTGATTTGAAATGTGAATAACACAGGCAAAATTAGCATGTACATGCTCTCAATCTTGCATTGATTTTTTTGAGAATTTGGGTTTGTTTTTTATTGTTATAAGATATTAAAGACAATATTTTGCATAAATGGAAGTAAAGAAAATTGATATGTCAGAAGTAAACATGCAACCGCTTTAATAAAGTTTGTTACAATCTGGCTAATTATAATTAATGCATTATAAGATTGCTCACTTTCCACACATTGCATGTACAAAATCTAATCTAAATAAAAATCTCTTAAATATTCTAACGTTGTTGCTCAGAAATGCAATTTGTTGACCATCAAAGTGAAAGCATTGGCTTTATTTTGTAGAAGGTTACTATGTCAATTGATGCGTTTGAATTCTTCACAGTCGATTTACACTGAACGAACATAAATCCAGTAAACAAATAATTTTATAGATTTTGTAGATCTTGGTAAACTTGTTTTTCATTTATTTTTGGCTCATATTCATTTTGTTGCAATTTTTCTATTGCATGATAGTTACTTCAACGTTCCTTGATTTTTGTATAACAAAGAGCAAGGTCTAAATATCAGTCTTATGTACTTGCAAAATAAGATATATATATTTAATGTTTCTTGGTAAATATTTCTCACTATCTATTTTGTCAATGCACTTTCCAACAAATACAATCGTAACTCGACACGTTTGGCAAATTGAAGAGAAAGCATTGTTAATGCACATATGCATTCGCCTCTACAGGAAAAATAATCTTAATAATCGCATGTATTACCATTATTAGCACAAGTATATATTATTTCTCAAACAAATATAATTTTCGAAGTGTAGAAAGATTAATTGAAGCACAATTTTCTTTGTTCTGATTTAGAAAGTGGTATAAAACACTCTTGATTCGACTAATCTGTAATTATTACTTTATTGCTGGTTGTAGATAAATGTTGAAAAACAAATGAAAGTTAAAGAGGCATATAATGTAAACTATGAGCATATGATTAGAGATAAAGTTGATTGCTACGAGTTACTGAGATTTCTTATAAACTGTATAATACATTGACCATGATTTTTTTAAATGACAAAAATAAATTTCATATTAAGTAATAAAATAATAGTTATGCAGACTTTAATAGAAATATAAACATTCGATTCAATATTACAGATATTTTTAGTGAGTATTGTATTTTTTTTATTGTGGAGGGTGATCAATATGTTGATATTTTAGTAATGTATTATAGAAGTTACAAATGGAATTTGAAAATTATTCATGATTTCATACTTTCTGTGAGTTAAAGTAATCGCAAAAAGATCGTACAAGAAAATTTTTGGATATCTTTACGTTTCGAAGGTTTCTGAAAATACCTTGGCTATACCTTATTATACGAAAAAATAGAAATATGTGTATATGTGTGCATGTATGTTCGGATACAATTTTCAGTTTACGATTTAGGGGGCACGGCACGGATTGACCGATTTTAATCATTCAAAAAACATTTGATTTGTATTAATGAGGGACGTTCCGATTAGATTTTGAACAAAGGCAATTCCACCGTTTCGAAGATAAAGAACAACTAGTGGTGTATGGCATCGTGCCTTAAGGCAAATTGCTGAAACCTCCATACTGTAATACAATTTTCAAAAAATATTAAATATTTCAAAAACTATTATTATTCGTATTGCATAGACAAAATATATACATGAATTGGACGATGAGATTTATATAAGTTTATAAGATTTATATAAGATTATATAAAATTTTTATAACAAAACTCAATGATCCCTTTCGAAGCAGAGTTAGAATAAAAAAGAATCTTGTCTAATATTTTTAAGCATTATATAAACTGAATTGCAAAATTAAAACTATTTATTTCAAGTTAGAATTATAATTGAAATCCGAATGATTTTTGCTATGAATGATAACTTATTTTTTGAAATTATTATTTTTGAATAATTTTTTTTCAAACAATCGTTTTGTAAACACAGGCAAAAAGTTTTTTGAATCATTCAAATCGTATGCTTCGTTCTCTCAAAAACTGCCAAAGAAATAGTAGTTTATGAAAGAACGGAGCACCGATTAGAATGATTCAAAAATATTTTTCTTGTGATGATAGTGTGAAGAAAATGATTAGTTGATAAAAATAATGTCAGGTTCATTGGTCATTTTGAATAAATTTCAGAAACATCTAATTTTTGTAAATAATTTTAAAATTTAAAAACATTTTTCAAAAATTATCTATAAAACAATAGTTGTTAATTTTTACCTGTCCAGTAAAGGACATTCAATAAATTTGATGAATTTACAATAGTCGGCCGAAAAGGGACATTGTATACTATAAGGGTATGTTGGAAAAAACAACTCAGTAGTTGTTTTTCCATTCGATATAAAATTCACAATATTTTATTGATAATTATATAATTTTAACTATTTACTTATGGAATAATTTCTTATAAATAATGATTAAGTTATTTCCATTTTTTATTAGGAGAGTTGATGGCTTAAATCCAGTGGCGCTTTTCTTTTCAATCTTCTTGGATAGTTCTCTGTTATCAATGAGTTTGCTAATAAATGTGGGTGACTGATTAGCTTGTTTCTATACTTGTGTGCTGTTTTTGTTATTACTTGTTAATTATTGATCAATTTTTATTATTATTTTTATTATTTTTTATTTTTTTTTTTTTATTTTCTTTATTTTTTGTGTGCTTGTTTTTGTTGTTTAGTTGTTAATTATTGATCAATTTTTATTTTTCATGTTTCTTTTGTTGTCTGAATGTTTAATTACGGTACATAAGTTCCAGCAAAAATTGCTTCAATGTACAATGCCATGCATACACCACTAGTATGCAAATTCAATTCGACTCCAAATATCCAAATATATTTTGTACCAAAATCAAATATTTTTATTCCACAACTAACGGTCCTGCCTCAACTCGTAAAGTTCACATCCATCGCGGGCGTATATCTTAACATGTCTTTAAAT